TCTTGTTTCATCTTGTTTCTTAAAGAGATAGTTTGGATTCTGGCAACAGTGGTGCTCCAAGCTCTGTTCCTTCAAGTGACATGCACCCTCGTAGCCAAAGCCATACTCTGCCATCAAAAGCACATTACCAGAGATCCCCAGCTGTCAGGTACCCCACAATGCCCTGGAATGCATCCTATCAAACTCCAGAATCACAACAAATTGACCTACCTCCTAATGATAGATCACATTCTGTCAAGTATGGTACCTTGCCATCACAGAGTTCATATCCAGTTCAAGAACCTCGCCAGGAGCCAATCCGATCTGCTGAGAAGTACCACACCATGCCACTTCGTCCTTCTCAACAACAACAACAACAACAACAACAGCAACAGTACTATAGTCCTGAATCATTGAGTCCATCCAGTCCAAGGGAAATGCAGAGACAGGAGTCATTGCGAAAACTCCATGATTGGGTTAAAACAAGGGAAGGCAGTAGTAGTGATGCCTTAAGGACTTCCACACAGTCATTACCAGTCCAAAAAACTACCACTGTAAATGATTATGCAAGGAGGGACACCACAACACAGTATAAGTCAACACCACCTCAAAACACCAACACAACACCGCATCGACCTCCTCTTCCGAATGACTATAGCAGAAAACATAAAGAGGATGAGAGGCTTAGAAATGAGGAACAGTTTAGAAATCTGCAGAAAAAGAAAGAAATGGAGCCGCTTGTGTTTCGGTTTCCAGAAACAAACACTTATCAGCAACCAGGCAAGTCCCCTGAGCAGCGTTCATTTCTTCAGAGCCCAGTAGGTGTGGGAACAGAACAGAGGACTGTCATACAAAGTCCTTACACATTCAATATATTTTCTGATAAACGACCTGCTCCTCAACAACAGCATAGACAGCAGAATGGTCATTATAGGTGAGTACAGCATTTTAAATAAAGTGAGCTAAATTCATTGTTTTTAATCTTTTTTAGATACCACTTGCAGCGTATCATGTTATTGACACTTTTCAGGAGCAATCATCCAGGCATTTTCACTGTCTGACAACCGTCACTTGTGAAAACGACGATCAGAAAACTGTGCTTTGGGCTAATTATTGTGACTCTCCTGAACAGTGTGACAAGACGTGCCCCTACATGTGTAATGTGTCAATTTGGTAAAAATTACTTTCTGAAACACCTAGTTTTAAACTTTCTGAGAGTCTAGCATTTGTGTTGAAATTGAAAATAATATGAGATGTAATGTACTAATTACTGCAGGTCACCTAACAAGGCACCATCAGGTTATTACTCGGAATCTGATGCCACAGATCGATCCCATCCAAATTACTCTGCAGAAAGACAAGTATATCCATCTCATCAGCAGTCGGAGAGGGCAGTAGATAGTAGACACCTATACACCCATCAGGAGGAATCGCCTCATGCATTAAGTAAGTCTTTTCCACATAGTTTTACATGAAAACCATGGTGGGCCACCCATTCATATCTCTCCTGGTTGGCAATCAACTAAAATGTCATATTCCTTTGAGTTTGCTATCAATAACTGCTAAAAAAACTCTTTGTTACAGGTCCCAATCGATCACAGTATTCACCTAGAGGAACACAAGAACACACTTACAGATCACAAAGCAGTAGAAGTTTAGAAGACATTGAACGCAAGTCTAGAAATCTAACTGATGTCATGGACTTAGAGACAGGATACCACCAGCAACCACAGCAATACAGAAATCAGGCTGAAGATCTTGTAGATAAAGTAATGAGACGCATGGATACAAAGGTATACTTTGTGAAATACATAGAAAAGGAATTATTATCACAGATGGTATATTCCATTGTGTGTCGGTGGCAGGTTGGGTTTAGTGTCAGCTGTTCTTTTCTATATGGGGAATACATGTATATTTTCTATTTGATTATATTTTTTGCAGGTGGCATGTACCAACTTTGTGTTCTCAAGTTTTCTCACATGAAAATTCTCTTGTTTTCTCTATATTTGCTCAAATTTTTCTCACCAATAATATACTTATTGCTTTCTAGCCCCCACCTGGAAGTGGTGGTGGTGGTGGTCGCATGAAGAAATTGTCAAAGAAACCACCCGAATTAATGACAATGAATGGGCATAGATTAAGACTTAGTATATCAGCTGGTGATCTCATGGGCAAAACAGTGAGTCCTGAAACTATTTATTTGATACAATAAACTAATACAGTTGTCACACCACACCGTATTCTGTATGGGAACGCTGTAATACACATGGTATGTGTAATATGAAATGTGCATTGTGTGACAACTGAAGCACTTCAAGTGATTCATTTAATGGGATCTACATGTGTGCAGTATAATATGAGGTTATTATAGGATAGGATACCTCAAAGTACGCACAAAGACAGTACAGCAGCAGTATCGACCGACGCCAGCGGAGGTTGGTGCGACAGCGTACTGTCTGAGTGCATACTTTGAGGTATTCTTGTAATAACCTTATTATTCTACATCTTCGCCTTCCAAAGATACATCATGGGAATGCCGAAATTCAAAAAGTTTAGAACAGAATCAGCAAACTTCTTTGTGTGGAGTCCCGTCAAACCCTGGTGGCAGCCATGTTTGTTTTTATTATTAGAGGTCACTTATGCGCGTAATCATTCCAAATTTGGAATTTGCATTTCCTAATATGGTAGAATGAAAATACTCTGTAAAATACTGCAAAATTACGACATGCTGTAACTTATGGCATTACGGTGACAGATGTAGAATAATAAATATTATCTTCTTTAAATGTAAATGCCTTAGAACATGATATTAATAGTTATATGTATGAAAAAAAAACATTTTGAAAACAACAAGATGATGGTTCATGGGTGTAACAGTAACATAAATATTGTTTATTTCAGCACGAGGAATTAGTGTTATTGTTAATTCAGTTAAGACGAAATTATGCTGGTATGGAAAAATCTAAAGATATATTGAAGCAGCAGATAGAACTGGAGAAAGATATATTAGCACATCCACATGGTCCCACAGGAAATAGCCAATCTTATAGAAAACAGTGAGTATCATATATTTAACTTGGTTGTTCAGCAGGAATACACTGTATTTGTTCAGTAAAAGACATTGCTATTACACATGCTTCAACACAAGGCACCAATATCACTGGCAATATGTACATGTACACAGGGTCTCTCCAGAGTACATGTATGTACAAGTTTTGAAGGCTTCTGTTATTACATCAACTGGTGTGTAAACTTTTTTGAACACAGCATATACATTTGTGTATGCACTTCTTATAACACATATACAACGCTGCCCAGTTTATCTGGACATGTTGAAGGAATACTTGAGAATCAATATAAAAAGAATGATAAAACTAATTAACATTCTGTTAACTGTCAAAATTTATCCATGATATGCAAGGTTGAATTTGCTGTAAATTTTTTTTTAGTTTACAATTTCAACCAATCAGAATGTGTGTTTCATATGTGTGACTATATTACCGGTATATAACTGGGTATGTTATTTGTCGATAGGTACAGTGATGACTTTAGAAGAACCCAACAGGAATTATTTGAGCATCAGAGAAAGTATGAGGAAATGAAAAAGGAAAATGATGAAATTGAAAAACGCCTTGATGTCAGTAGGCCGCTGATTAATTTGGTGGACAATTTAGTCAAAATGGGAAGTCTGTATGGAGGAGAGAATGCTATGGTTGTACAAGAATTATACAAGGTAAGGGGGGTTCTTTTAGTGCTGAATTCTTCTGCTGATGTGTGTGTCCGTTTTTTGGCAATACAATTAGTAGTTCCTGAAGGAAATATTATCATATAAACAGTCATTTGCAAAATGCAATGTTTGTTCAGTGCAACAGCCATCTCCATTAACAGAAAGAAATTCTGAGAATTGCCCACATAGGGCAATGGGGTGTCTGAGAATAAAGATTATCTAATATTTGGTTAGAAAGGGTGCAATAATAATTGGGTTTGAGTTCAGAATCATGCATCAAAAAATATAAATATTATGTATATACATATGTAAATTTGAATCTGTTATATGGCCCAGTTCTCGCCCTTTAAAATGATACATGGATAACCAGCATCGTAACTTTTGCATTTTTGTGTGTTTGCTTTGATTTGAGTTTGTTCCTCCCCTCGTGAAATAATGAAAAATTGGTTGACTTGCATGATTATGCCTTTATTCAACTAAAAAGTTGACTCCCAATAATCGTGTGCTGTATCCTTACAGTCCTGCTAAAAAAAATCTTTTCTGTCCTGCAAGAAATTCCTGCCGTCCTGCAAGAAATCCTCGTTGTCCTGCAAGAAATCCCTCCTGGAAAAATTCATTCTGTCCTGCTAGAAATCCCTACTGTCTGTTTTGGTGTGCGCAAGCACAGCCATCATTATTGACCAGTGTCAAACAGGATACTGTAAAATACTTTATTTTTGCTGAAGTAATGATTCGGTGAAAATAAAATCTAGTGAATATACCTTTTTTTCTATATTTGACATCCAACTTGCCAAAAATCAATGAAAATAACTTCCATATAAAAAAAAACCCGAAAATTCTTTTCAGTAAAAATTAATTCCAGCTAAAATGAAGTATTTCACAGTACATGTATGTATGTATATAAAGGTGCTTTGTATGATCTTATTGCTTGTACCATAGAGGGCGATGTTTAATTTATTTATTTTTATTTTTGCAGTACAAGTGAATGTCTTATTTTACTGTGTATTACTCTTGTATGGCACTTGCTGTCATCCATGTCCCACTTTGGGATTCAAGCTAACAATTATTAATGCTTAAATTAATTTGATTTAACAAACTAATCTTGCATCATCATATTTCTTATAACCAATATAAACTGTTAATAAATAAACACATGATTATGTTTTCTGAAACATCCTATAGACGTATATGCACCATGGATAAAATCAATGTTTTTGAATTTTTAGTATAATTCACTTTGAATTTATATTTAAAATCTTTTTTTTTTAACTAAAAAGACAAAACGTTATTTATGATTTTACTTTATATTTATTTCCATCTACTTTGTTTTCATTCCCAACCCTTTTTCCTGATTTGTATGTTTTTTCCCTCCAATTTGTGTGTATTCTTTTGATTTGTAGTATCAATATCAGTTGCGTGGCGACCAATACACCCCTCCAAAGAGACTAATAGAGTTTTCGCGAAAACTCCAAGAGGATAAGCTGGTGCATGACCATGAAGCTGAACTTAAAAAATTGGAAACAAAAGATGATAGAGATTTAGAGGTAATAATAATACTAATCCCGGAGTATTATCATTGGTCTTACTTACAATTTAATCAAATAATCAGGTGGGATACAGAAAGGTGGAATTTAGCAAGGCTCGATGAAATTGATTTGCAATTTACTTTAGTTTGTTTCCTTAATGATTGGCCATTCTGAGAAGGTTACGAAAAATTCTTCAAACAAAATGTCGTCTTTCAAATCATAATTAAATATTTTAATTATTTTGTTATTACTCATACTTTAATAAATGAATGCTTCAGAAGCACTTGTTTAATACACTTTTGCGGCAAAAAAAAAAAAATGAGTGTATTTCTTGGAGTTCAGGCAGTTAGTGTGTTTATAGTTGGATTGTCGGCAATTTGAAAGCTCTTTTAATTTTGAGTAACTTGTTAAAAAATAAAATCTGAAAGTTAACGTATTCGTGAGTAATAATAAATGGAAACTGATGTATTATGCCAGTTATTGTCTTCTCTCCAATAAATCCAGTCAGGCATTCCTGTTCAGATTCTGCTTCGGGTACGCTAAATCCAACTAACCTAGGAAATGCATAATTTTTGATATTTCAAATTCTGTTGCTCAGAGTCCTTCTAATGGTTATACAGGATACAGTGCAAGACTTTTGATAGACTGGCAAAGTCAGGACTTTTTTTTTGTTTTACAAAAAAATATAATTGTCAATTTAGCCTTTTTAACGTGATCCTAAAAACTAGCATGACTGTGAAAGAAATCCTGACTGGACGCATCTGCAGGCGATTCCCTGCGTTGGAGTGAAAACCGGAGCGGAATCACTCCGGTGATTATGGTAATTAAAAGTTGTTGACTAGCATTGACAACGAATGCAGCTGTATACGTCATATCCTATCTATGTTAATGTACGTGACCTTTCACTTCTGAGGTCCTGGCGATTTTGAAAGACTACTTATACACATTGGACATTTAAATCGACTTGTTTTCAGTAAGCACTTAGAAAGTGTCCATCTGTGCAGTTGAATCGAGTCAACCTTTAAACAGTCATGTTTACTTTCACACACCCATCATGAATAATTAATCAAATGCTCGCAGATGCAGATGCGTTATTTCTTTTTGTAAAATAAAAAAGAAGTCCGGACTTTGTCAGTCTAGATTCTTGAGTGCATTTCAAACCAATTCTAAATAGAAATTTATCAAATACTATTATCTTCTGTCATCAAACTGAGAATCCTGCATCTTATTCGGTACTTGATGAATTCTGAAAATTCAATCAATACCAGAACCATGGAACTGCATGGCGATGTTCCATTGCTGGCAAGGCAGATAGATATTTTGCGAATATCGTAGCTGTTACATTTATTACAGTACACATACTACTTGCCATGCCAAAGGCTTAAAACAACATTTTGTCGACAATGCAATTTAACATAATTAGTAGTGACCCGTTCTTCTTTTTAATATTTGGCTATTTCAAAATCAAGTATTTTTTTGCATGACTTTCATCTTTCTCTTGGCTTGCCATGATTTTTGGTGATCAGTTCTGGGTTTGTCTACTTTTGTTTTGTTGTTTTATACTTCTCCACCTTTAAGGGCAAAAACCTCTTCTGCAATCCCGTAGAACTATTTACCCATTCACAGCAGTTTAACTATTCACACACAGTAACCCCACATTCAATTCACAGTTGATCCAGAAAAAACAACTAAACTTGATTATAACCACTCACAATTAACTTCAATTACTACTGTTACTGCTGTCTTCTCTCTGAATTATGTCACTTGTATACAGAAAAGCACACTTTTTAAAACATAAAGCAGTTGTTGTTGGATTTTGATTGTTTTAGGAAAAGCTTCAACGATTGTATGATTTAGATAGGAAATTGCAAGACTGTTCTACTTACGTGAGTGGGCTTCGAGAAGATATGGTAAGTGGTTGCTAAATCTCAATACTTTTAGGGCTGAAATGCACCATTTAAGTTCATATCTTGTGGACCAAAACCTATGATTGATAGCTTGCGAGTTTCGATTAGAGGTTGAACTTCGAAGAAAGTCAAAAGTACCTATACATACCGTGGACGGGTTTCATGTTCTCTGCACGTAATAAGCTCGGTTATTAAGCATCCTTTTTTGGGGATGCCCGGTGGTCGAGGGGAAGACGTGTAGTGGCGTGAAGCTAGGTGATTAGGTGCCGTACGCGAGCGCCGGTTCGAGTCGCGCACGCAGTACGTGTTTACTATAATTAGACATAGTCTTTACCTTGCCGTTTATTCGGTGTTATTTGCTTACTATACGTACCATGGGTGTGTGTGCCATAAACTCAGTGGGCAGGCCAAAACCACTCGCTGATTTTCATTCACAAATGAGTACCAATTTGGGAAATTTAACTGTAAAATTATCTGTATGTGCCAGGATAGTGGCACACATTCTTATCCCAGACATGGAATATTGTTTTTGTTGCACTACCAGTATATATACTATTCACAGTGATACAATGTATGTCATGCAGGGAACTGTACTGTAAAACATGTTGAAAAAGCGGCATGCAATTTTAGTGAATTGTGGTAAAATGAGGTAATAGCAAAATGTTGATTTTGCGAATCTCTTTTGTCATTGTTGATTTCTTTGTTTGGCGACCATTTTGAATTGATAAAAAGTCATTAGTGACATTTTGAATTAGCGAATCAGTTCTCTCGCTAAATTCGCGAAAAAGACATGCTCGCGAAAAAGACATATTTTACAGTATTTAAAGCAAAAACAAACGTCATACACAAACATTATAACATGTTTCTTTAAAAAAAAAATTCTTTTTCAGGATAAAATTGAGAAGGGCCTTGAAAGGATTAACAAGCATTTAGATCAGTATAGAGATAATCCTACAGAATATCATGAAATAGAAAAACAAAGAATAGTACTGGAAAAAGAGCTTGTCAAAGTACGAGCCATGTTGGCTGATGGTAGTAAGGTATGTGATGCATTTAACTCAAATTTGTTACTCGCTTGTACAAGTGTTGATTTGTTTTTGAATGCCCACACTAACAATCTATCTTTCTTTCCTGGCTGAGATTTATTTAACATTGGTGTATGCGGTATCTGTATTCTCAACCGACAAACATTCACAGTCTAAATATTTCTGAATTCCTATGGTTTATCTATGTATTTATGTTGTTACATGTGCAACATACTGTATTTATGTTGTTACATGTGCAACATACTGTATTTATGTTGTTACATGTGCAACATACTGTATGTATATGTAACCACATAAATATACAAGTATAAATAATATAAACAATATATTAAGTGAATCACAATGTCAAATTTCGTGAGATGTTCATGTCAAGAAAGATTAGAAATTAGTTTTACGTTTGTTTCCATGATGATATGCTGCAAAATAATATTTGTCTACTGTCCCCAATTTTGATGATTCACTATTATTTCTGACTAGGTCTAGTAAAGATACTTTGATGCTCTCCTTTGCACTGCATCCATTTTTCTGCACAAACAGCATGTCATTGTTCAATCCATACTGTAAATTACTTTATTTTTGTTTTTTTTTGCTGAAGGAATGATTCAGTGAAAATAAAATCCAGCGAATATACAATTTTTCCCGATATTTTAC